TTACTATAAATGATGTAGCAGGCGCGCAATCCGGGACTTCTCTTCTCATCGTCACTCGTTATGTGAAGCGTCGCTCTTTAAGCGAGTCATTTTTCTTACAATTCATTTTGCTCGTTAAGCTAGGTTCCACTGTATTAGTAAGTACAGATTTAGTATAATATATGACAAATGTGAAAATTATTGCAATTTCATTGCAAATATCAAATTCTAATTTATTTTATATGTATTAAAAGCAATAATATCAATATTAAACAATTTATTACATCATCAGTAACATTAAATTACTTGTACTTTAGTACATTATGTAATTGCAATTGTGGAAGTTATGGTTTAAGTTTTCTTGAATACTTAAATCTTTATAATGATTGTATTTCCACTTTATACATTCAAGTTTCTTTTTGTGCTGTTTATCTTTATGCGGTGTTAAAGTCCGGTTTTTAACAGTGTATAGATTAAGTAAAATGTTTTTGATTGAATTTTTTAATTAGTAATATTTTTTTAGAGTTTTCTATAGAAAACTTATATTTCTATAATCATAGAAATATTTTCAAATTATTTTCTTTTAGCATTTCCTAGTTATCGCATAACAAACTCTAAGATTTCTTTAATTGAAGTGTAAATAATATAATGCAATACCTCGAATAGTGCGGGTAACCGTTTCCGGTAGCTCGGACTGTTTGAAACCCGACTAATCGAGAAATATAAATAAAACGCTATAAACTTTATAATGAAAAAAACGTCGTTCATTAATGTAATTTAGTGTACTATTTTTTTAGAATTTATTTTGCTCAATTAAAATATTGAAACCATATTATAGTGAATCCGCACTGATCGAAGATGTATTCAATATATCCAGATTAAACATGTAACTGTTACAAGATTATCTATCATGTTACAATGTAACATGTCTATTTTTAACAATTTCAATGACACAACAACATACATACAAAGTAAAATTAGTTTCCTTTCAATTTCTGATTTATTCCTCCATTAAATTGCCTGACATAACAATATTGTATACAAAATAGCTGCAATTTAAAATTGAATACGGTTCTGTTCCTGGGAAGAGGAGCCTGCTTAGAGTAGGAAGTGTTTCGTGAAAGTGTACGAAGCAATATTATGCATCGGTATGTTTATTCTCTGAGAATATGTATTTGTTTCATTTAATCTTTTTTGTTTGTTCTGTTTTGTTGAAATTATAATTTGCAATTCGTTTTGCTCAGAGTGCATTCGGCATACGAAAATCGTCAAGTTTTTTTTTGCGCGTTACAGAAATCAGGTTACCATTGAGCAGCCAAAAACTGATACGATCCAGTTTGACGCGACGCGAAAATCATAATTTCTACTCAAGTATGAATTATTTATCATTAAAAATTCGGTTTCTATTTTAATTTATTTGCATTTTGGAAATTTAATGGATTGATGTGCTACTTTCGATTGTGTTTATTACCAAATTGTGGACATTGTCGATTCGAACGATTGCATTTGCATCCGCGACTTTTTCGCAAATTGCAACTCATCCATTTATTACGCAGCTTGCAGACTGTAAGTGCGGAATTATATAATGCGAAGCAACAATGTGCCGATTTATATTGTTTAGATTTTTATCAAATTTTCATCATATTAATCTGATTTACGTTATACAACAAAAGAGCGTTGCCGCGTTCGCACACAATGTCTTATCTGATTAAAGACAACACTAATGGAATGTAATCATCACTCATAGTAATACTTTATAAATGAAAGGTAAAAACTTTCTTATTATCTATTTCAGGGGCGGTGGGACTTGCCTAGTGGGGCATTATTATAATTTTCTAGAAAATATCCAGGAAAGGGATGAATTTGAAGTTGTTTATCTTGAATCCGTATCATCCGATGTTGATTCGGTTGACGAAGTTGTCTGATTCAACTTGGGTCTAGAAATTTAGGTATTTCTGGCTTTTCAAAAGCTTAAATTATGGAATTTTTGATTAATTTTATTAATATAAAACTTTATACTGTCGCCATATCAGTATATCAAAGAGTAAACTTGTGAAATATGTAATTGAATCGAAGTACAATTACAAACAAATATGGGTCGCGTGGCACAAACATTGAGAAACGCTGGTTTAAATCAAGATTATAAGTCTCATAATGTATTGTTATATTCATAAACGTTGTCTTATTTATATTCTAAATAAATCTACTTACAATTTTAAATAACTTCGTCTTAATACCTTATGATAATATAATAATCTTACATAAACTGCAAATTAACTTGAGAAATAACTTGAGTATTAGGAAATTATGTATTAAAGTCAACGAAACCAAATTGGCTTATGTCATCTTTACAAATGAGGACAAAGCCATAGCCAATATTAACTAAGAAATACATTAGATATATAGTGCAAAATATCCAGGTATGTAACTTAGACACACACAAATAGTGAAGACATCCATTATATGTCTATAAGTATCTATAGATTTAACACATCCTGAAAATCATTCAACAAAACGAAACAAATGTAATATTGAATATAATTACAACAATTTTACTAATTATATATATATTTCTCATAAAATTTAAGATTTGTAAGTGTTACAATTTTATGAATATATTTAAAAAAAATAGTGTTCTTAGTAAGTAATATTTCTAGTTATTAATTCAAATACAGTGGAACCTCGCCGTTAATCCTCGCACAACGAGCATTTCGCTTAACGAGCAAAATGAATTGTAAGAAAAATGATTCGCCGATTGGAAGAAAAGTTCCTGATTATTCGCCTGCTACATCATTTTCAAAACTTGTGTACATATATTATGAAACGCATAATCGTCTTTTACATTAGTTTATATGGGGTAATCTGTTTCACTATAGTCGTAAAGAGTAAAAATCCGGAAATTTTGGAATGGATTATGCTCGTTAAGCGAGGTTCCTCTGTATAAAGAATTATCCTTTTAATACACATTTTATACATATTCTATTAAAAATCGTAAGAAATTACATATAATTAACACTATATACTTTGTTATGCAGTTTTACAGTACAAGGGCGTTTCTCAACCTTTTTGCAACGCGAGCCAGCATTTATTTGTAATTGTTTTGCCACCTAACTGCTAGGAAGCTATTTTGCGACCTCTATGGGTCATGTCCTTTATATTGGGAACCTCTGCTCTTTTGAAACTGAAATCATTCATTCATAAAAGAATTATAATTGTTTAAAAATATTTACAATAACAAATGTTTATATATTCATATAAATGCAAATAAAATGTTGATAAGATGTATTTACTAAACGAAAACAACTCAAAATGTACAATGAAAAACAAAAGTTCAAAATCTACATGAACATAAATATTTTTGCTAATTGTTATTAAAAAATGAAGTAAAAATAAGAGAAGATACTACTAAAGTAATTAAACACAAAAATCAATAAAACAAAAATGTAGTAAATGAATTAAAAATTATGTATTCATGTTTTGCGTGAATTAAATATTTATAAAATCAGAACTTTGAAACATATTTTTTTGGAAATTTGAAACACTTAGAACTAGTTTCAAGTTTATTTTTTCCATTGAACTATTTGTAACTATTTTAAACATATTTTTTTTATAAGAATAATACATTAAATATTTTAAAGAGCAAATTTATGAGTTAGTCAAGGAATTATAAAACATTTTTTTTCTAAGATTTTAAACATTTAGATTCCACTTAAAGTTATGTATTTGTAACAATTTTTTTTGATGAAACAGCACATTAAATCATTTAAAGAGCAAGTAAAGACGACGCAATAAAATTTGAATAATATTTGCATACAAATCAACGGCTCAAAACATGGTCTGATTTACCTACATTTTTTTTGTTTAGTTTAACGAAAAAAAAAATGTATTGCGCAAGGTTGAATATTAGTGATGAAACTGAAAACGCTCTACTCCCTTCACTCGGAGAATAAATCTTCCCTTTCGCAATACCACTCGTTATATCGAAATAGTAAACCATTGTATTTTTTATTAATAAATTAAACGCGGAGACGCTAAATTTGTAATTGCAAATGCTTTCGAATTCTCCATGTTCTACCGAAAAGAAATAATTTATTTAATTAGTCAATAAGCAAACAGCTCAAGGATCTTCACTTGCTTCTCCCATCCTACATAATTATTAATAACCAATGATTTTATTATTAATTTTATTACATATTTGCTTGTCTATTGTTATCTATTGTTAACATTGAATTATGAAATAATTTGTCGGGAATTTTTTTTCTTGTACATGAAAAACTCAAATTAGTTATAATTACTTAATTTATACACAATACTAAGCTTTTCCTATAATTTCCTTTGGGATATTTTCATTATCCTCACATTATTAATCATCCAACGTTTTTGATATAAGAATTGAATTGAAATATTTCAATTTATAAACAATAACTTTATCTTGAATTATAAAGTCATTACTATTATTATTATTGAAGCAACAAATGATTATTTTTATGTTAAATTTAAAAATCGTAATGTTAATGGTAAAACAGAAATCGTTAACCTATATTTCATTCAAAACGAATTTAAGTTGAATGTGAAATCAAGACTTTACCTATAATATCGCGTTAGTTATTGGCAGAAATCGAATTACATGATTGCGCTATTCAAGTATCTCCATTAATAATCAAGTGTGTCTGTAAAATTCGTATAAAGCGTGTGATGTTAATAACGTGACGTAAGGAGATTACAACAAAAAATCTGAAAACAATCAATGGAAATGTTACGTTTGCTTCTGAATTCGATTATAATTAACGCCTCGGATGCTGCATGTTTTTTTTTCACTCAGCGTTACGCAAGTCTATGGAAATCGTCATGACAATTCCGCGTTGGCCCGGAGATAATAAGCCCGCACTTTTACTTGCACTTGGAAGTCGTCCTGAATTGCGTAACTCGCGCGATCTTAATTAGCGGATCTTAATTAAATGTTTTCTTTTCTTTGTTAATGCTCTTCCTCTACTTTCATGTTAATTTTGTTTTCATCACAGTTACAGATTTACGTGGTTCTCTTAGGGATGCTGTTTGCCGGAAGTTGGGCATCCACCTCTACCAGTTACCAGTACGTTAAGTTCGTCAATAACAACAGCAATAAGGGCAAACAGGGCGGGAATGCAGGCTCGAATCGCCCGCAGCAGAATAGAAATGCGAGGAGCTTCACTCTTCCGGTCGAATTCTTGGAGGAGACGAGGGAAATTTGGGCCGAGAATCTATTTCCTTATGGCAGTGACAATTTCCTTGACGTCTCTTTGAATGGATACTTTAATGGAGGCGAAACTCATCACACGCCAGATTTCTCTAACGGCTTAGGTAGACTCCTGCTTTTGATATGCTCATAAATCGTTAGCACTGTAATTACACACACTTGTCATGCTTGAAAATATTTGCATAATAATTTCTAGCTAATGATATTTGTATTAAGATTGTAATTCACAGTCATTAAATTGCTTTTATTTACTTTAAAGATCATCTTGCAAATTGTAAACTATATTATTAGCATAATCTATAAATATCGATTTGAAATATTTTTATTACTATATTAAGAAAAAAAAAAACAATTATACTTAAACATTATTGAAAAAAAGTTATACCAAAATACAGTGGAACCTCGCTTAACGTTCAAAAATTTCCGCATTTTTACTCGTATAGTAAAACAATTTTCCCCATATAAACTAATGTAATATGCGATAATGCGTTCTATTTTGAAGTAATTTTTCTTACAATTTATCTTGCTCGTTAAGCAAAACGCTCGTTATACGAGGTGTTTGTTAAGCTAGGTTCCATTGTACATCTAATTCTCTTAATTCATCATTGAAATAACAAATATTGTTTTACTTTTTCAGCGTATCCAGATCCTTTGCTTCTAACAGGCCTGGATGCTAGAAGAGCTGTGAATTACATCTACGGTCGTGGTGAACTCTTCTACAACGACATTCCTCATGCTAGAGCTATTCTCAGAGTGCAAGAGGAAAGGAAACTGAACGGTCTACCGCCGAACAGATTAGGTTCTTTGAATTATAGATCACCATTTTACAGAGGCATTAAAAAACCCTTCTTTTTCTAACGACGATTACCTTCCTTGCTGTAAATAAATTCTCTATTTTGTAATTAATTTAAATATTTCTAAGTGTTGAATGGCATTACGCTCAAACCTCTAATTAAGTGTATTGTTTTTTAAGAAAATAACGCAGCATTACTAAATATATTTTTTTAATAATTATTCTATTTTTTTTTACATTAACATATCATGTGAGCATATATTTTGTTAAGCAATATATGCGTTTATTTATTATAAAATATTTTTTTAATATACATTTTTTTCAAGTTTTCTTATAACTATTTTATTTTTATTAGACAACCTGAAATGTTCTTCTATGTACATATACACATTTATATAAAATAAAAATTACAAATTTTATTATTAGGAGGACATCTCATATAAAACTGTCTTTCCAAAACTGCTATAAATTGCATCTTGTTTTCAATTTACTTAATGCTTCAAGAAATGGCAAAAGTGTTTCATTTAGCATGAATTTGGAGGATTTATAAATGCTTTAAAATAGCAAAATATTTTGTAATAATATTATTTCTATTTTTGTATTCAAACGTACTTTGAAAAAAATAAAAATATAAATTCACATTCAGGTATAAATATATTGTGATAGTTATGACGCGTTCCGAGAGGAGCGCTGTCAGCAATAAAAGCAAATTTATATTGGAAATAATGAAATATTAGTAATATATTTAGTTGTTAAATAAAACTTATTCATACTGGTCATCAACTAGATTAGATGATAAAAACCGAGTTGAGTTCAGAACAGTAACTCCATAACTACATGTTTCATAAGTATTTGAAGAATTTCAAGCAACTCGTTTCTATTCTTATTGAAAAATCAAATGATACCTAAGTACTTGTTTCATTTAATATGTAAATAAAAACAAAACTGGTTGATATTTTATTAAATAATTAAATTTTTATTAAACTTGCCACTGTATACAATGTAAATAACATAAAGTGTACAATAAAGTGTTATACAAATCCTCGTAGATATTGTAGTATACAAAAAAAAGTATTTTAACACCAAAAAAAACTTAACTATCTAATCCAGTTTATAAAAATTACATGATTATTGCACCACTTACGGGTCGCTATTAACAATTATGATATAATATAAAGATTTTTTTTATTATTTATATATGTACATAGTCATTTGGGGCTGACCAAAATATATCAATTCAATGACAATCATAACTAAATATTTTTAAATTCGCTAATAATTAAATAGGTTAAAAAAGTAAGGCGCATATTGTTTGCTATTTAATTATTAGCAAAATTCATTTCCGAACAATGCTACAACGCAAAGATCGGAAATAACTTAATTTATTTGTTAGGTTTAATGAAAGAAACTTGCTCGCTTTTGATTATCAAATATTCTACGATCTACAGTCGAAATATTCTTTGGTCAGCCCGCGAAGTTAAAAGATGCAGCAGCTTCCAAAGCCATAAAACTGATAAATATTTACATAAACTGCGTTTTTTTTTTTGTTGTTTTTACCGATTTCGTTTCTTAAAATATTTGTACTCGAAAGTGAACTCCCTTGAACAGAAATATACAAATAATGTAAATAATAATCACTTAATGGCTTTGGACACTTGTCCCAGACCTATTTCTATATGCTTCATATGGATTTCGACGTTCGTCTGAAATACAGTTTGATTGGAAGCGGATAATTTCCGCTTGATGTCCTCCATAGTTCCTTCGATTACCTGCAATTTGTAAGGATCTTGATCGGAGTCTGAGAGGCATTTCACCTGAATCATTAGCCCAGTAAGATCCGTCACCAAATCTAATATCTTCTCGTTCGCAACTGGTCTGTCGGACATCGCAGAATTGTTTCTCATAACGATCTCTGCTGCCTCTTCTCGACATTTCTCCCGCAATTGATCTGGAGCTACAATGGAACTAAGACTATGTTCCGGTGCAATTTCCTGACACTGATCTTGCATTTCTTTCAAATAATATTGCAAATCCGTATTGAGTTGCTCTAATTCAATCAGAATTCCGGCATATCTACGTTCGAAATCTTCCGGGATATCCTTATTGAAGGTATTGTAGTTTTCCGCCTCGGAGTTCATGTTCTGAAGCAATTTAATTTTAACGCGTTTCGTTGCCAAGATCTTTTTCACATACACCATATGCTGTAGTAATTTAACTGGATATCCTCTCGAGGTAACTACGCCTGGTAATTGTGGTTTGTTCAAAATCAAACCAGATAACAAGGGATCTTTCTTCAACTTCATCGGGCTCTTCAACGTTGTCGTATTTCCATTTCTCCTCACCTTGTTCTGATTTAGTGGCATCGTTTCTGGAGGTTCATTTGAAAGCACTTCGTAATCTGGCACCGAATGCGTACCCAATCCCGCTCGCTCGAATGTTATCCGATAAGTGTTGTTGGAAGTATCAACAGCGTCTATGCTACCAGTAAAAAGGCCATCCTGCGGTTTTCTTAATCTAGCTGTTACTTTGGTACCAATCACTAACTGCATTGGAATCTCTGGTGGAAGATCTTGAAATGTAGAGGTGTCAGTTACTTTCCTCTGCTGGAGTGCTCTTATCTTATTCCTTTTCTTCTCCAAATCCAGTCTCTCTTGATTGAAAAAAGCCTGTGAACATCTTCTAGGTCTGCCCATCATTCTTCTTATTTTAGTCCACTCAATTCTAGACAGTTCCCTTGTTTTCAGTTCCGGGAAAGATTCCTTCAAGCATATTGTGAAATCATTATCACCACTGAATAAACAGCGATCTATGTTACTATAGAACCATTCATAGCAAACCCATTTGTGGGCCTTAGGAAGTTTCAACAGATTTCTAAGTCGCAGACCAATCTTCTGACCAATTTTCCTATCTGGTGAATGCAATGGTGTTGGTGAAGTTGGACGTGGTGACTTTTCATGTTTCCTTTCACGAAGGTCATACGATTTAACTTCCCTTCTGAGTTTATAAGGCGATTTATGGTATTTCTTGGTGGGACTATGCTTCTGCTTCTTAGCAGAGGGCACTCGATGATGTGGAATATTAACTAGCTCATCATCATAAAACAATTTGTTCTTCTTCCTTATCCGAGCTGGCATACCTCTAGCATTGAGTACCTGGGTGGGCTGTGTTGGTGTTGGCTTGTTGATGGGGGTGCCAACTCTTTGGAGTCCCAGGGCTGCTGGTCCCAACTCCAATTCTTCATCAACGTCCATATCCTCGTCATCCGATAAAATCTCCTCTTTCATATTGTCGTCACTCATTTTTCTGCCGTTCTTGAATTCCAGCAAAGCAACTGCAGATTCGCCTTAAAAATAAATGATTTAGAGGTTAAACAATAGCTTGGGCAATATTTGAATTTTTGTATTGGGTTCCATTTTCATTTGAATTTGAACTGTGGTCGTGATATGCACACGTATTAATATCTTTGCGAAAATGGAACAACAATACACACTAACTACGCACAAAGCACTGAAGACGTTCATGCAAAAAAATAATACTTAGATGATTAATATTGAAAATTGATTAATGCTATTTAAAACAAGCGTAAACTCACTTTCAAGTTCGTCCGCCATATTGACGTTAAATGCGGGGGATTCTGGGAGTTGTTGTGTATAGTCTGTTGGTTGCCAACTTCATGTCGTACCAAACAAATAAACTAATCAGCAAAATAAATAGAAAACCATTACGCTTTTGCTTCCGTCTCGTCACTTTGCTTATGCAAATTCATATAAACATCACTTATCAACAAATTAACAACTGTAATTAAAAATAATTCCAATAACAAAATACCAACCTGAAATTAGCTGCATACTATCATGTAGCGTTGTTCAAAGTAAACTATGTAAAAGGAACAAAAACGCAAATATTGCAAAGCTAAAAAATAATAAATATTATTACGTAATGAAAGCGAGCAATTTTAGACACTAAGCGATAAACATGGAAATAATTATTATCAAATTTGTTTCAGCAACATTGAATTGTACCCGTTGTTATGGATAATTCATATAAATATTGATAAAAATGATTTATCCATTACTAATATTGCTAATTTTCTTAAAATTCACTTCATCCGATGATGATACTGAGATAACCACTGAGAGCGAAAGTTTCTGCAGAGAAAGAAACAGATTAGTGTCGAATGATAAGGATGATTTGTACAACATTGTTGAAGCATATGAACAAGAAAAAGTTTTATTACAATGTCACTTTTGGTATGTGTTTTGTATTAATAAAAGATTTACATTAGTTTTATGCAGTTTCATTAAAAATAAAATTTAAATATTCAAATTGTAAAAAAAAAATATAGAGAAATATGACTTGGAATTATTTATGGAATCATGATTCAATTGTGAATAGCCAGCATTTTCATATAATTCGTCTTAAAATATCCTTTATTACACATTGTTTTGTTATAATATGAACTTATGTATCTCTGAAAAGAATGTAGTAACAATAATATAGTACATAGTACAAAATATAGAAAACAATATATTTCTATGCACTATAATTAGAAGTGGAAATTGTTTATTTCTTTCTGGTTTTCTAATATTATAATATCAACTATAAGCTTATTCAGCTTATTATAGATTTCACAATATTTGAGTATTTACCAAATAAATTATTAACAAATTTCAACAATTTTGTTCATATTTTTCCTGATGATTCATATTTGTCAATTGAGTTTCATGTAACTCTTTGTTTGTCCCGCATAATTCGCTTCGAGGGTATGATAATATTACATTGATTTTTATACTTATAACCAAGTAAATAATAAATGAATGTGGATCACATATTCAGATACAGTGGAACCTCGCTTAACGAGTTTAATTTGTTTCAAAACTTTCGGATATTTACTCGTACACTGAAACATATTCATAATATGTGTATAAGTTTTAAAAATGATGACTTCTCATCTCATCGTCACTCGCTCGTTAAGCGAATCATTTTTCTCTTTATACGAGGTTCCACTGTATATATATATTGTATTGAATAAAACAATAATATCTAATAATAACAAATACTTTGTATTTGAATTAAAAGAAAATTATAAAAATCAGATATATAATGTATTTTAAATGATGCAAAATTTAATTGTATTTGTAAAGTAATGAAATTTTAATTGCAGCAACGAAAATGACGACGACCATCCAAAAATTTGGTACAAACTGGACATGAAAAACAGCAGCATTAAACATGAAGTCAAGTTGGGAATGGAAAATAACATGACGTTGAACAGAATCAGAGTAACACCGGATCACACCCTTATAATAACGAACTTAACGGAACACGATGCTGGTGAATATTTTTGTAGAGGTTTAGATGGAGACGAAGTGGAAAACAAATATAACTTTTACATTGATGGTAAACAATAAAAATGCTATAAAGTATTGACTGATATAATGATATTTTAGTAATTGGTTTTAATACAGTAAAACCTGAAATCGGATCATTATCTCTGTGGACGAAGTACCAAGAAGAAACATTTGAACCGATCAATCGTTTATTAACGCGTTCTACGACTAAAGAGTATGACTATTTGCGATTAACTTTGAGAATTTCATTAGAGATGGTCACTGAGTGGGATGAGGCAGGTCCTTGCGAAATATGCGGTAAGCCGAAAGGTCAAGGAGAGCGCTCGAAAAAAGGACACTGCAAATTAAAAGTCAGTCAAGTTGGGGTAAAATTAAATACCTGTTGCTTACTTATATAAGAAATTAATTAATCAAATTGCAGAATATAAAAATCGTTGGTAAAAATTACCATGAGAAATTGCTGCTAAGGGCTACACATGTTTCGTGCAGGTCGATGGCTTTAAAGTATTTAGTTCCAGGAATTTATAACGGCACTAGCGTTGTCCCTGACTTCATCGAAGTCGAGAAATGCGATGGACTTTGCAATCCTGGTTTGTAATCAAACATTCTTTATTAACTTTACTTGCTTATTTATTAAACCTAGATGCCGAGGGAGTTTATAAAGGTTGGAAATCTACCAAGAAGTCTGGATTTAAATACAAGAAAACATTCGTGCTAGCAGAAGATGCACATCTTACTCTAATTTGTCCTGAGTAACTTATTTAGTGTATTAAGTCATTCAAGATGTATTTTTTTAATGTAATTTTGAAGCTCTACGTTGGAGAATCAGGTAACTTGGAAAATTAATGGACATACGATAAAAGCTGGGGAAAGTGTCGAACCCTCAAACGTTGAGCCTAAAGTGACTGTAGATACTTTTAATACTCTATATTTGTATGGAGTAACTAAAGATGAGGAAGGAAATTATACGTGTTACGTCGATGAAGTCAGAATGCAACAAGTTCGGGTGTTCGTAGTGTCAAAAGCAAAACTGTTGACGCAAGGTATATTCATGAAATGTAACTACTTCTTTCATTGTATATTTAGCATTTGTTAGACATATGATGTATTTGGCATTTGTATTATCTTTAACACTCTCGTGTTATTGCGCTGGTTTGATTGTAACGTGGACGCGCAGAAGGAGATTCAAAAGTTATCAACAACTTCGTGAGGATCTGAAGCGCGAGAACAAATTGTTGGACGAGGACGATGAGGAAAGCCCATATGATGCGCCTCCTGAAAACACAAATGTTGTGAAGACATCGGAAACGGTGGAGCTATTAGATGAAAGGAGTAACAAGAATGTCAAGTATTAGTCAGTTCGCGCGTAGTTCAAATAAATTTCATAAGCTGTACACCATCGCAACATTTATTTTGAAACAGGTCTTAGTCATTGGTTTTTTATTTTCCTCCAAAGTTGATGTTCCCCACTTCTTCGACGTCTTGCATTTGTAATCGCGGCCGGTGACGCTGCGTAAGTGGCCAAGAGAAAGTAATGGTCGACAGAAGGTTACATTCTGCTAAGTCCCATTTGCGATCCGTATCTAAACAAAATGGAACTTAAAGTTGGAATTATCGCCATAGTGTTTGTGATATTTACTATTTTCCCTATAAACATCGAAGGTATTTATCGATAATTAGTTGAATTTTCGTGCTGCATGACGATCGAGTGCTCTTTTTAGGAGGCCTAAAGAGATGTTACGTGTGTAGATCGAGAGGTGAGAATGGAAGTTGCAAGGATCCGTTCACGTTGAATGCTACACAGGCGGACGAAGAAAAGGGCGTAGATACGATCCCTTGCGCTTCCGGTTGGTGTGGGAAAATCGTGGAGACTGAAAATGCGTTGAAAGAAGGTAATGATAGACGAAGAACGATTTTGACAGATCGAATCATATTAAATTCAACATTTGCAGAGTATGGTGTGGCTACACAAAGGATATGCCTGCAACGAGGACCTTCGGACAGCGAGGATCGCTGCGGACAAACCAAATGGCAATACCGTCCAGTTCTGATGTGCTTCTGTAAAGGAGATTTATGCAATGATGCGTCCACTGTGTCCTTATCTGCAATTCTTCTTGGAATTGCATTCTTTACTATTAGACTGATTTGAGTGAACTATTATAAATAAATAGAATATACAATTTACGCGATTTATTCCCGAAATAATCACATCAGTGTTTAATTTTCAAATATATAATTATTTAAATAATATAACTTTTAATTAAAGACATACAACTACAAATGAACTTTAAACACAGAAAAGTCTATATATAGCAAAAATATTTTAATATTTGCCAATTAGCACTACCAAAATGAAAGTACTAATATGCTCGTTTTAATATATATAACCATAAAAATACTACTAAAAATGAAGGGTGCCAATTTATATTAAAATATGTTATGTGTTTTGCATAATTATTAAAAAGTAAATAATTTATTATAAAAATTACTTCTATAATAATCATAAGTTCAAAATTTTTTAGGCAACTGAACTATCACAAATATAACAGGAAAATATTTTACTTTAGTATCTATTAACTAAAGGATTACAAAATATTTACTTTACGTATACTATTTTTGAATATAGAGATTTATATCAATTTATTATTGGTATAAATCTCTTTAACCCTTTTTCTACCCCTTTTCGTGTTTATCGGCTATACAAAAGAAATAATTATAGAACGATAAACAATTTCTTAATAAGTATTGATACATGAAATCATTGATGTAAAATTTGTGTTATAAAAATAGTATAAAATCTTGTTATAAATTGTTTATCCTTATTTTTAAATGTAAATCACATATAAACTTTCCAAATACCAATAAATTTATTATAGGCAACTAAATCAACAAATCAATAATTTTAATTGTATTTGCAACAAATCCTGTAGAGTAAATTACTTTTAGTGTGTGTAAAGTTTTTTTTTCTTAATTATATACATTTTTCAACAAATGATTTCTATCTGGAACGAAAATTATTTTCACTCTTTGGATAGATTTTTGGATATCTGTCACCGTTTTCTTTCCCAAGTGTGCGTTATTTTTTTTATTTAGTTTTAGTTTCCCGCACTTTCTTCGTCGAAACGTTTACAAAACGGTTTCCCAATCGTGCTTGAACTTTAATCGAACGTTTGCTCTAATAAAGAATAGCATCACCGTGTGAATCACCAACATTTTCTTGGCAAATATTCCTGTTTGCATAGTGCCACTAGTTCCATAATCATAACCTTAAAAATAGAAATAAATTAAATGGCTGGCAAAAGGAGCGCAACAAGTGAGTTAAACCACGATAATTGGGACCAGGAGGACGAATGCGAAGATGCTGGAACCTTCAAGAGAGCCTCAGAAGATGTGCTGAAGAAGCGCGTTATAAAAACGGCACGCAGGAGGGGAGTAGCCCCGACGACAACTAAAGAGGTTAGATCAATAAGCAATACAAGTCAGAGACAGAGAGCTCAAAATACGCTTTCTAAATTCTATTTCAGACTGACAATGGCGAGGAGAAGAAGAGCGTATTTGGCGGATTTACAGCATTCAATAAGGCCCAAACAAATCCAAATGCTGCTTTTGCTTTCTTGAAACAGGATGTGAACGGAACTGATAAGGAAGTTATTAAACCTGTAGAGACCCCCAAGAAGGAGCCCAATAATGAGTACCTGGCAAAGTTGAAAGGCTTGAATGAGAGTGTTTCAAGTTGGATTAAGACTCATGTTGATGAAAATCCATTCATTGATCTGAGGCCAATCTTTGGTGATTATGAAAGATACTTCAAGGAAATTGAAACTACAAAAGTAAAGGTCAGTGAAGAAACTAAAAAAGAATTGAGTTCATTTACATTTCAAACACCAGCAAAGGAAGATAAGTCCCAACTGACTTTTGGAAGCAATAAGAAGCCAGAGGAAAGTAAACCACAGTTCAGTTTTGGTAATAATCAAAACAATAACAATTCAAAGGAAAGTGCACCTCAATTTAGCTTTGGAAGTGGCAGTAAAGATGAGAAAGTGACTAAACCACAATTCAGTTTTGGCAGTACAAACAATAAAGAAGCTGAGACTAAAACAGGACAGTTCTCTTTTAACAGTAATAGCAAAGAGAAAGAGGAACAGAAGCCACAATTCAGTTTTGGTAGTAATAGTAAAGAAGAGAGTAAACCACAATTCTCATTTGGTACACCCAAAAAGCAGGAAAGTAGCAAGCCAGAATTCAAGTTTGGAGCTACAAATACAGCAAATGAGAATAAGGATTTCAGTTTTGGTAGTAGTAAAGATGAGCAGGACAAAAAGGGATTCACCTTTGGCAGCGCTTCAAACAATTTCAGTTTTGGAGCGGTCACCTCGACTCCTTTCGCCGCCGCCAATAATGTGACGAAACCTGCAGTCACGACCGAGAAATCAGAGGAGGCCGAAGAAGATGAGCCCCCAAAGGTGGAATTTACACCGGTTGTCGAGGATAATAGCGTATACTCCATTAGGTGCAAAGTGTTTGTGAAGAAGGATGGTGCCTTTGGGGATAGAGGTGTGGGAAATTTGTTTTTAAAACCTGTGCCAGATTCAGAGAAGGTGCAACTGATCGTTCGCGCCGACACGAATCTGGGTAATTTGTTGTGTAATTTTATATTGTCTGATGGAATTCCCATGCAGAGGCTGGGGAAGAAAGATGTTATGTTAGTTTGTTTGCCCGTGCCAGATGCTAAACCTCCTCCAACACCGATTTTATTCAGAGTTAAATCGTCCGAGGACGCCGATGAGCTATTAAAGACCTTAGAGAAACACAAAAAGTGATTCGATATACATTATTTCTTATATATTAAAAATTAATTGAAATTAAACAAACAGTTTGAAACAATATTGAATATATATTTATTTAACCCCTTTCACCAGCAAATATACAGTTTGTATAAATAAAATAAATATATATATATATTTATATGTTAAAAAATACATAAAAAATAATCACAAATTTGATGGAAATTATATTTAAAATCTCAGAATCTTGGGTTCTACTGTTCAATTATCATGATATATATATTTATATATAAAAGTTAGTGCAAAAACGAACGAACTTTCAATTTCATTTAACAATTTTATTGCACTTTTAAGCTAACTGGAATGTTTTCAACTTTATTTATTAATTTTTTTTATATATAACTCGATTTACATAAATATTACTAACCTTATACATTAATCTCTTCTCCAATATACTTATAAAATATTTTTTTCATTTAGATTTTTTGTTTTGTAGAACATTTTTTTGGACGGAATGTATCTATAATTTTTCTTTCTTACTCTCTTTGTATCTCATTTTTTTTATAATATATCATCAGGTATTGTTTCATGTCATCACATTTCATAGGCACTCGACTATAAAAAACAAAACATAAACATATTTACATAAAAATATCTCGTCATTTGTTTTCTCATGTCCTAAAAAATATTTAACGAATGTACGTATTTAACACATTATTAATTAGTTCCCTAAACAGAAATAATAAACTTTAATTTGACAATAATAAGATTATTGTGTTTCTCTGAAAGAATTATTAAAAAAAAAGAATTTTAATTGAGCTTAAAACTGATAATGCAATTATTTGATTAATAAATAAATTATGGATAAAATAAGCTTATAGCTAGTAACAGAAGCAAATAAACTTTACAGCTAATACTAATTCAAAAATTAAAAAAAAATATGTATAAATATTTAAAAATATCTAGTTTCACGATTGCATCTTCATTTGTTAATGACGATAAAATTTTGATTTTGTAGTAGCGGATATCAAAAAGTTTAATTGCCTTACTAGTCAATGATATTATTTTCTTTTTTGATGTTGTCCCAGACGAATTGCCGTTTACAATTCGCCGAGCGTTGGAATGTTTTGCAATGTTTTTCTTGTTATCACAAATCTTTGTTTAAATTAATACATGTCATGTTTTCTTACGTGTTTGAGAAAAAAATTAAACACTTCTCTAAGGCCTTTGAACTTGTACTACCTTTAACTTGTTTTGTGTGAGGTTTCACTGGTGACTTTTGCTGAGCAGGTGAGAGTTGAATTCGTAAACGTTACAACATTGTTCACCGCAAATGTTGCATTTCCACGGATTCGCATCGGAGTGACAGCCTTTGTGGAGGAAATAGAGCGTCTGATCTGGAAAGGCGATGCCACAAAAGACGCACTGGAGTCCGGACATAGAGCGTTTGCTGTTCGCTCTCCAAACAGATGAATCCGACGGTTGTTCTGGACCCGTCGAGGTGATGGTACCGTTCGTGGTTGTCGCCGAATCGTTTGGACTGCTCTCTGGATTGTTATGATTTGGTGATCCGGAGGATCGGGTCCTCGATGATGAGCTGCGCGTCACGATCTTTCGTTTCAGATCGTCTCGAAGTAAACTTTTCAACGGAGATACCTTGATTAGCGAGCTTAGACTACTTGAAGTCGCCGTTTGCATTTGAACGCTTCCTACAATTACCACAAAATATTAATTAATTGTGAATGGTTGAGAGAAAGTCATCTAAAAATACCTGAAGGCGAAGTGCTTAGATTAACTGGTCCGTTTCGTTTCTCATATTCTTCATTGGGTTCCTGCTTGATAGGTATCAACGAAATGGATGGAGTGATGCTCGTCTCGTGGTCCATCCGCATCGAATTCGTGTGCGAACTCGTTGGGGCGTTTGAATTCGAATCTGCAGATTGAGGTGATCCAGGACAATCGCCGTTCATCCTTTGCGAGTTCTCGCCGCTACTGCTTTGACCAGGTTGAGCATTTCCATGCTGATCCGACTGTTTGATAAGTAACATTCATTAATCTCCATTTGTATTGTCATCTTAACACTGCAGTGTGCGCATTTGGTTTTAAATCATTAGATTGACCTTCCCAATTTATGCTCATTTGATTATATTAAGATACATGTGACCTGTTTCCAGAAAACATGTATATAGTGACAGTGTGCTTAGTATTTCCAACACTAAGAAAATATCATAAAAAGTATAGAATATATTGCTCACCATTCTTGGATATTTAAATGGATTGATGCAGTGTGCCATAATGGATGAATAAAAATTTAACCTTCTATAAAGATATTTTTCTTTACTAAAGCGTACTGAAGACGTTTTCTTTTGTATCAATGACAGAAAATATGAAAAATCTGAACGGATATTACTGTAATATTATCCGATGCAAATCCAATTTATTCAAGAAATAGAAAGATTGGAATGAACCAAGCAAAATGAAATTTTGATGCATATAAAAAGCGAACTGGAAATATAAATTTAAAAAACTACTAAAAGTTAATCCACAAGTAACGAGAACATTTGCTTATTAGTTCTTTTGTGCAAAAAATGAAGCGCGTACACTGCAGTATCAGGTCAATTGGTGTTATGATCCACTTAAACTGTTTATTGTACATCTTAAATAATAGTTTAATTTACCAATGTTGGCGAAAATACTGGTGCTGGTGCATCTGCCATGCTGATTTCAACATGAGGCGTAAGAAAATGCATCGGAGGTGTGGCGTTGTCGGTGGAACGGGCGCCCGTTGAATCACCGCTGTCGCTGTAATTTGCAGTCATGCTGACGGAGACGCTCTGCGACAAGTTCCCGAGGGATGTCAGTGTGCCATCAATGGGGAAACCCTGCTGGGCAGCTGCGGCCAACAAAGAGGCAGAAGAACCTGCTGGACCGGGGTTATCCAAATCTATGCCGTGCCTAAAATGAAAAACGTTTACTTGGGTGTGCTTATAGGGTCACAAGTTCAACTGGTACCTATTGAAAAAGTGTACTCTAAGACTCTTCATCGATCCCGCACGATAACTACAAAGTGGACAACTCTTAACTAAGTCATGCTGACCGACGTGCTCGTTCTGAAAATGCGCTCTCATCGCGATCTGCCTTTGGAATCCTCTATTGCATATCGGGCAGTGATAGGGTAATGTTTTGGTGTGGGTGGTGAAATGCTCTGCTAAGTGGTCCTTCCTGAAGAACCTCTTCTGACAAACTCGGCACTCGTACGGTTTGACCCCGGTGTGCCTCATCTTGTGGCGCCTCATATTCGCTCCATTAGAAAACTTCATATTGCAGACGTCGCATTCGAACAACTTCCTGTGTATCCGTTCCTGCGGCGGATTGTTATTCTCCACTTCCATCTCAGATTCTTTGGTGCCGTGCACTTGGTTCACGTGGGCGGTCAGCGAGGATTTGTCGATAGCCTCGAAGTCGCAGCTGTCGCATCTGTGGTTCCCTTCGCCCGCGGAATCGTAATTCGTGTTGCTCCCGGAGACCGTCCCTTCGGCGTCGTTCTGTTCCGATTCCTCCTCTTGCGGTGTCGATTCCACGTTTTCATCATTGTTACTAGTCGGCGGAGGCGGATTCGTGCCCGAATCCGCCTCATTATCTATACCTGCGTCTGCCATGATCACCGCATCCTAAACTTCGTTTGAAGTGGAACTTTGCTAATCTCGACTAGCAAAGCTTTGCACATCTACAACACAACAAGTAAACAATTAGCACCGATGCATTCAGAAATATACGTTATCATTGTTGTACTGTTAACAGATCGCGCATCATTACATTGTGTTCATTTAATTTCATTTAATTTTTTTTGCAGCGCACTGAAATGAATAAAACTGATATACACATACGAGCGAAAAAAAATTGACCTATTTTCAAACGGCCACTTTCCAATGCGTGCCGCATTACATCACATCGACAATTTCAAACGTAAAACGCGCAAAAAATATATGATTATAAATATTCAAAAATCCTCGTATTTAAGAGATATATACTGGACAACTGTTTGGGGAAAAATTGGGCGCATTCCGCGACCGTGGTGAACACTCTTGCAATTTGCAGACGGGTTACCACGGACGCAATTTAATTTAATAAGAAAAAGTAACGTTACTTTAATACAATTTCGGCTTCCCGCACTGAACGTCTTATTACACATATACATACATACGAGTATATACATATGCATGTAACTGCACACACGCACTCACTCACACACACACATCATGCACGAAGATATTGAGAGAGTGAGAGAGATAGAAAGATGCACTCACATAACCGGACCAGCCAACTTTATACACCAAATAACAACAAATAAATAATCGTAGCTGTTGATGGTGCTGCTGCTCAAAAACCTAACCTGTATCCGCGAAGGGAAAACGGAATGTGTCGGAGGAGACGGTGTGTTGATGTTGATGATGATGTACGTGTGTGTGTTATGTGGTGTGGGTTGTTGTGAGGGATTCAATGGGACCACAGGTTGATGGAAATAACTTACGTGGTTCCCGTGGGGTACCCTCGGAACAGGCCTAAGAGCTACGCACGAAAAAACACCTGTACATCGCTTGACCGCTTTTCGGCCATTCCAGGTTTGACCTGTAGAGCAAAGTGGGAACCACGAAGACCGTGTGTAGAGTTGAGCGCGTGACCGACATACACACACACACATACACAAACACACCGGAATACCAAAACACGCGCGCGCTCCGACAATATACTCCGGGCAGACCTGTCGCCGTTCCTACTCCGGAGTCCAGCAACCCACAATACTGGAGCCGGAGGCTCCCATAAGCTTTCCTCCGAGTCCTTCCTTCTTTATTTCAACATCTCTCGTGTCACCTCTCCATCGGACGCTTACGATCTTCTCAAGCTCGTTACCGAAGATTTGACCAACCACCTAACAACGATTACCAAACTTCCAGATGCGCAATCCCATAAAAAATATAAATAAATCGTGTTGACTATTCCAAAAGACCACATAATTGCTTTTTAATTATACAAATCGTTATAGCTACCAACTACAAATAAGAATGTTTACCAAATTAAAACATATTTTTATACAAACTGTAAAGATACTACTTAAATAAAACTATTGTCCTAGTAGTCATCATATCTGTATTTGTTTAGAGGTATCTTCAGTATAGTATAAATATTGGACTTGTTATTCTGATTTATGATTTATCATATATATTTTGCTAGATTACTATGATGTAGTTTAAAACATTTTACATTAGTATTTAATTATATACTATTGTAACAAACCGTTTTTGGATAACGATGAGAAAATAATTGTGGCTATTTTATATTATAATATTTATTTTGTATGCATAGAAATGTGATATTTCTTATTATTTTCCATTTTAAATTTAATTTTATTTTTATTATTAATAAAATTGAAAATATTTTATTTTTTCTCTATTAGTTTGAATAAATTATAAAAAAAATAAGGGAACATTTATACAAGTATTTATTCCATAAGCGTTCGGTGCATGGTGCAAAGTATGGATTGTGTTCTGCTATTATTATTTTTTAGTAATCTGCTAATATTGCGTCTATAAATAGTCAAGAAATGTTCTACTTTCGTTGAAATTTTCACTTTATTCGATATTATATAAAAAAATCATAATCTCGTGAATTACATTTTTTATTTTCTCGTTTTTTTATGAAGAAAATTATATTGAATATTCCAAATTTGTTCTATTCTTGTGTATTTGTTAATAATTCATAATATTAGAATATTTATAAAACTTTCTACAAGGAATGTTTAAAATATTTGATAACCTGTTACCTTTGCAAATCTACATTTCTTATTAAAAAGTCGCATGGAAATTGCGTTTCTAATGAAAATCCATTAAAAGTGTTAAGTAAACAACTTTAATCATATGTTGTTCGTTTCAAGAAGATTGATTGTTACATTTATATGTAAATAGTAATTTTCCAGGACTTTACTAGAATATTCTAATTAAGATAATTCTAATGTTCAAGGTTATTCAAATTTGATTCTTTGTCCATCAGTTGACATAATTACATTTAAAATGTAGAATTTCGTTATTCTGTTATTTCTATTGAAAGTTAGATTGAATAATTTTGTGTAAACAAATATTTTTTATTTATTGTATAAAATTATAAAGTAAGTGATAAATAATAATAATATTGTAGCAACAATTAAACAATAACATTTAAGAAAGTGATATAAAAAAGTCTATTTATTTTAAATAATTATATTTTTTCAATAAAAATAAGACGAGAATATCTGTAATTATATATATATACAAAAAAATCAATCATGTTATATTAATGTCCTACTTCCGGCAATAAAATCGTATTCACATATGTAAAATCAAAGAATAGAAAGTTCATCGACAATGTATTCAAAGATTAAAAGATCGCCGAATGTTTCACAAAAGTATGCGACTAAATTTTTCTTTCAACGTTTGATAGATTTGGGTTTCCATTTGAGCGGTTCTTTCACCGTTCGGCTTCAGCGGCAATAAATGGTTTCCTGAAACTATCACATATTTAAGCAGTTCACTTAATTGACGAAAATTCCAAAACTGATCATAATCATCGAGTGGTCAATCCAGATGGCCACATCCGACAAACAGGTGTGTTTACATTGACTGACGAAAATGATGAATTATTGTGTCCCAGGGACACAGTTATAGGAATTAAATAATTCAATTGGTTTTACATAACTTTATTATAATAATTGGTACTCTTGGGGTCCTTTTCCAAGTGAATGTGATTACTTTGGTAGGTTGACTAAGACTAAGACTAATTCTAAATACTTATTCTACTTACAAAGTTAATTCTTATTAATACGGGGTGGGAGTTGTAATCGGGAGTAGGGTTTGTTTATTTTGATGATTAAGCGTTCCCACGGAAATTGGCCTCAGTGGTTTTGTTTATTATAAGACCGGGACAAATTCCTATGCATTTGTTTATATGAAAAAGATGATCGATTACGATTGTACATGTAACGATCATTATGTGTTTATAATAATGACTTGAATTCGGAGTAAAGGTATAGGAGTATCGATGGGAATGTTTACGCTTGATTCCCTTTGTTTATATTAAAGTGTATCGAACTGGAATCACGGTAGAGAATCCTGAGAAACTGTTGTTTATGTTTATATAATAATGCGACTAAGAGACGCCTTGGATGTCTCTAGTACGTTAATACACTATATTAATAATAAAATTACAATAATAATGGTTGGACACAACAGAATATTCAAACGAGGTGTACAAATTGTTCGTTACATATTTTACTATTATGATATAACTTGCATGTCATTTAAGAACAGTTTTTTTTTTGTTACTGGTGTTAATTTAATATTAGGGATAACGTGAACAAACCAAATTTAATTATAATTAATAAAAATACATATTTTTTTAATCAACACTGCTAATCGTGTTAATCCAAAACAGGCATCTTCTTTTGATGAATTGGTTCAAAATCGACTAACAGAATCGTTTGAGAATACTGATTGAAAACGTTACAATGATGCGTTGGAATTGGTTGGATTTCATATAGAGTTAAACTTATTATAAAATTCTTAGGATATTATTAATGCTTTAATATGTTTACAGATTCATAAATTATGTAATCGAATGAATGATAATAAAAAAAGATGTAAATAATTAATTATCTGTAAAAATAGAATGATACCATATGTCTATATGTGGCATTTATCAATAATTAGTCTTAATTAACTCAATTAATATTTCCAATATAGTATTAATTTATTCAGTAAAATTAGTTAATAATGTTTATATACCGCATTGAAAAATGTTTTGTTTTTAAGTTATTTATTTATTTTATATTAACATATTTAATAGTCAAACTAAGGTCTATCCTCTCAGAGAATACATAGAGAATAAATGAGAACACTGTGGCCAAAAAATATCTTCCTAGTTAAAATATCGAACTATTAATGAAAAACCACAAGTTTTTAATCATAAATTATCGTATATTTTATTTATATGTATAAAAAATACAATTATCATCATTTAGAGACGTCAAGTGTATGTCAGATATCCAATTGAGTTCATCCATAAAAATAAATGTTTGTTGCGCTGAACTGACGGTAAAAAATACTTTGTAGAAGACGATTATTGACTTGTGACTTGAATTTGAACAAAAAGCTATTAAGCGAGGTAATGGTAAGTAAGCCCTTCGGAGTCGGTTACCGGTATTTGTTCAGAATAAAGTCATTTGTATTCGGAAGACTTCTATTGCCAAAGGTAAGTGTAAAAATAGCGTGAAGAATAAAATAGACTTGGGAATCAATAGGTTCGTCGCCTTAGGGAACATCACGTGAAGCGGCGTCAATGACCCACGGCAAAAATTTTTGGACATCGACCGAGATCAGCCGGTGGAAGAGGCGAGGAAGACGTTGCTCGATTACGTCCAATGGTACTCCGGGATTTTCCTAAATGTAAAAAAAAGAAAAGAAAGAAGAACGGTAATTGGGCATCGCTCTTCTGAGCTTATGGTACTGTTAAAGTTATTTGAACAATTGGAAATGTATTGTAGAATTGTTGGATTTATTTCTTCTGAGGATGCTGATTTCGGGAGAAAAGGATAAATTCGGTGTGGGCCGTTGATTTTTTTGGTGTCGATGGCGTCGTCGTTGCCCGAAGCACTTCGGAAGAAGTAGGATGAAGAACGAACGGAGCAGCAAAGAGAGCGAACGGAGCGCGCGTGTTCTGTGCGAACGGCGAGGCCGACCCGTGCCCATCTTTAGGCAGGATAGGGATAAAATAGCGGCTCTATCGTAAACTGTTATTGCGGTTAATTTCGTTACCCGACAGGTGCAGCAGAGTACTCTACTGTTCTACCTGGAAACCAAGCAAAGTGGGACGGATTGCGTCAACATCGGGGCGAGTTCGAGACAGCCCAGAATCGGCTTTTGGATTGGATCGGATTGGAATGGAAACTCTTACGAACTCTTGCATGCTCGACACACATGTGTCGACGACTCTCCACGCCGTGTGCCAATTTCATTTCGCGACACATACATACACACACACAGTCATTTGTATAGTGCGAGTTCAATTTCAAAAGAATGGAGTGGAGAAAAGAATCGCAACAAGTGCCTGAGGGCCCCCCAGGACTAGATCAGGCACGTGTCTGCCGTTGCGTATGCTCTCCATCTACGAACGGAAAACTTTTCGGTTATCCGACTGGCAAATCACTCGCATACAAAGAGCCGCAAAGATTAAGAAGTTGATCCTCTGCAACAATGTTGCACGCCCACCCACCTCTTGGGATCAGACCGATTTACGAAACTTTGTGTAATTGCGCCACCCCGACGTTACCTTATTGATAACTCGAAGAGATTCTATTGCTTTGACTTATTTGAAACGCTTTGCACAATCAAATGTTGTATGTCTTCATCGATTAATTATGTTAAGGATTGAATTGACATCATTCCGCACATACTGTCTGCTAAAGTTCTTTTAATTAAGTTCTTTAAATTCTTAAATTTTGCAACCACTTAAACCTTTATCGTCAAACCAAGTAATTGTTCCTAAAACTGTTATCATATAAAAAGAAACGAATGAAAACTACTTGATATAGTTATTATTATACCAACTCAATGTACTATACTATATCATTTATATAATAATTAGTAGAATTATAAATTAAATTAAAAAAATCGTTATTGAATTAATCCAAATCTGAGCCAATATAATATTATAGCATTATCAAAAGCAAATCATTATTTTTCTATAAAATTTAGTTTATTTTTTAATAAATTTTTGTCCAATAAATTATAAAAAGTTTCCAATTTACTTGATTTAATGAACATATTGTATGAAATAGATTGAAAATAAATCTAGGAAGATCTCCACGTGGAAATAGTTCGTTACCTAGGTAATCAGTTGTTAAACATCAATCTCAGTTG